AATTTTACGGCATAATCCTATGCGAAGTTAAAAATCGACAATAATGTGACGTATCTTATATTGCGAAGTGAAGATTTTAAAAAGTAATTGAAATTTATCCGACGAACCTTACTTAGAATTCTATTTATTCTAAATTTAAGATTTTGTAAACATGATTTGAGGTTGTATAATTACCTACAAACAGGGACTAACGAAGAATTGGGATGGTAACTTAAAAATTTAATAACAACGTGGTATAACTTACATTGTCAAGTGTATATATTGTCTAATAATTTCATGTAAATAAAATTTAAAATTTATCGTGTTTAAAAATCGATTAAAATTTATCCAACGAATCATATTCAAAATTCTATTGACCTCAATTTTAAGATTTTGTAGATATGACTCTCTAAGTTTTGCAATGTTCTAGAGCATGTTTGGTAGAGTTTAAAAGTCAACTAAATTAATTTTTTAATCGTTATTTCATTATTCCAGTCGTCATTTTTGAATTCTTCTCTCACAGGTAGAATCTACTTTATCTTTAATAATCATAAAATCAATTATCAAAATCTCTATCAAACAAGTACCTAATGGAGTGATTAACATTAAAAGTTCATCAAAATTAAGTAATTTGATTGTGGCAAATTAAAGTTAAGTGACCTATTTGAGACGTCATTGAAAACTTACTGAACAAAAATGAAAGTAACACTTTATGTTGAGCAATTGTCGAGCTAGGCAATAGTTTACTAACGTCATTTTGAAGAGAATTTTCCTTTTTAAAAAGTATATTTTACAATTTAAAATGTATTTATTAATTTAGATTATAAAAACTTTTAAATATTCCAACGAACTCTTTATCTTTAATACTTAATTTTACTACTTTCAGTAAGTATTTAATGTTTTTTTCTATCTTTTATTTTCACCAACTTCCCCCCAAGTGTATATTATATCCCTTCATTTTATCTGTATATACTATTTAGTTGGTCAATATATAGAGTATTGAAAATGGAATATTTTGAATGTATTTAATTATAGAGAGTGAATTTGGCTATTCAAATTTAAATAGTCAAACTCACTCTTTATTTTAAAATGTTAATTTGAAAAGCTCTTGAAGCATAATTTTAAGGTCGGCTCTTTAAAATAAAAAGCTTTTCACTTTTTAGTCATTTGAAAATGATCTAAGTTGTAGAGCTTAATTATTGTCATTGTATGGAGTCAGTACGAAGTGTAGAGTTAATATCGTCATTAGACCAAAATTTCACTAAGAACTGTTCATGAATTCGTATGCCTATAAATTTCAATTTTGCCCGAATTTTTATCATTATTATTTTTGCATAAATAAGAGGATGGAGAGAAGTTAGAGAAGATAGAGTGTACGATTTTCACTTATAAACTTATTTTCACAATAGTAAATTACTGTGGTGATGATAGATGACATAATTTCTCTTTATTTTTTTCTGTAAATTGATTGCTCTCTACATAATAGAATTAGAAAAACTAATTCTTTACAAACCAATACAAGTAAGAGGTCAATGATGCAACCTCGTGGGATCATCTTGCCTCATTTTCATCTTTGTTCGATCCATTGATTTTACGTACTTCTATTTACATTCACGAGTAGAATTATAATATAAGCTTAATTTCTCTTTAAGAGGCATTCACTTAGTTGGGCATAACCTTGCTATAGCATGGAGTGAGATCTCCGAGAATTAATGAGTTTGGTCAACTAAGGATGGCCCGAAAGTGGATTAATTTAAACAGATTAGTCTTTGGTCCAACTAATGAAACCAAGTCCGTGTGTGTCACTTGTGAATTTGGACTTGTTGAAATGTAAGGGCGGACTTAAGCTTTTTCTATTGTGGAATTAAGAGCATGTTTGGTGAAGATTTTAATTCAATTAAAATCAATTTTTTGATCGTTATTTCACTATTTCAGTCGTCATTTTTTAATTATTCTCTCACAGGTAAGATTCAATTTATCTCTAACAGTCAAAAAATCAATTAATAAAATCCCTACCAAACAAGCATTAAAAATTAAAATATATTTAAAAAAATAACAACATAATATTAATAAAAATAAGTCAATATATTACTACAATTATAGCGTACGCATTTTGATAATTTGAAAATATCGTATAATTATATCGTTATTAACATACTATCAAATGAATTTTGCTAATTGTATAGTTTTATTGGTAACCTTGTTGACAGACAAATGTTGAGGTGGTGACTAGTAAATAAATTGAATGTAGGAAGTAATTCAAATTACAATTAATATGCAACGATCTTAAAATTTTTGACGTCATACTCTATGTAAAATTTTCTAAAAAAATTTATATATTTTATTCAAAAATTTATCGTGCAAAAATAATAAAAGTTAATTAAATAATTGAATTTTTATTTTTTATTTTTTATTTTTTAAGAGAAGACGAGTTAGATGTTGCCTTTTTTAAGACGTATGTTTGGCGCATATTTAATTATTTTTTATATTCGTTTCAACAATTCGATATGACGACAATATAGTTTTTGAAACGAGTTTCTAGACGGCATAGTCAATTTGTGGATTTGGCTAGTGTACGATCATCAATGAATTTTTAAAATTGACATTATCGAAATTATTGAAATATTATTTTGAAACGGCTTATTTTGACACGTTGTAACTTGTGCTACGGTTAACCGTTTTGTACGCCATTAACAAGTTAAAAAATAGGTCGCAAGTAATTCAAAATGGTATTAAAAATATAATATTTCGACTTTATTTGATTCTACATGATCCCATATGACTCCGCTTATTAGTACAGCTATTAAATAATTAAAAATAGTAATCATTTTATCAGACTAAAGTACTTTAACCTTGGGTCATCCAAGAATGAACCAAGACATGATGTCATGTAAAGCAAGTATATGACCAATCAGAATGCTAAAAAGTACTAGTCAAGGGTCCCATGACTTCACAACACAAAATAATAATTTTTATATCATTTGAGCTAACAATTCAACTGGTCAATTATTATGCACAAAATTAATTTAGATTACCTACTCCAATCCAATTAATTTTTTTTCATTTGGTATACCAAAAAAATGATAATGATAATGACAAGAAAAAAAGGTTAGGAATGAATGTGTTAGGAGGCAGCCACCTTTTTCCTTATGAGGTTAGTGGTGGGGTTTGGCACTTGGTTCCATCCACAAAGATGTAAGCAAAATAATGTATTGTTTGCTATGTATATGCCCACTTTTAGCATTCTCTACAAAAATATTTGGTACAATTGGCCTTCTAAGGGGGACATATTCATGTAAATAAACTATTTTGATCTAATTGATTGGAGCATAGTCATTTTTAGCAATCTCAAGTGATTTTAGTTGAACTGTAGTAAGGTAATTCGATTAAATTTGCAAAATATGTTACTAGTTCAATAATAGAACACCATATTCTTGTTGTGTATAGATTGTAAATCAAATCACAGTCTTGTTGAGTTATAAATTTATAACACTTAGTTATTAAAACGTCTTGTTCGAATATAAGATTCTTATCAACTAGGCGTTCCCAATGGACCTTCTATAATCCGGCAAAAATGCTTTTCTTCTCTTGGATGGTTACCCATATGAGGTTTATTGGATAAAGTCTAATGGAGTGTGGTCCGTAACACAAAAATAGACGAGATAAATTGAACAAGACGGAATATGAAAGATCAACTTCTTTTTCACCTTTAATTATATTTTATATTATCAAAGTATAAAAATAATTATCTCTTTTTCCTATAAATTGCGCTAAACAATTAAGTCTTTGTTTCACAACCATTATTTGAAAACTCTATTTTTATATACTCGTTTTCAGCTGTACATTCACATAACAAAATATTCTATACGTAAATTCAAAAATGTTCCTTACTTTTTAGTTACATATTTACCAAAAAATCACTTCTCGAAAAATTGTTTGTTTTCCCTGACTCTATTGTTGCACCTGTCACAATAAAATTTGTCACTGCACTAATGGCGGTTAATGCAAAGTATGAAAATGGTGCTATGGGTCCATAACAACAATAACGCTCCTCGAATAGGGCAAATGATAGGGACGAATTGACGGGGCGACAGGGCGAGATTGGGGGTGATATTTTTATTTTTTTCAAACTGTCCAAACATGTATTAACAAGTGTTCTCTGACTCCATCAACGCACCTGTCACCATAGCAAACTTGCCGTGACAATGACATTTGGGCCATCCAAAAGCCGTGAAATGTTGACCGTACAAACCAAGAAAATCCTACAAAAAGCACATGAACTCAATCGGCAAGTCGGCAATTAAGCGCAGTTTGTTGCGGAATTCTTTTATCATTTTATGGTATGATGTATTCTTCTTTTCTGCCTAAAATTTCCCATTACCCTCGGATCTCTTTATAATATACAACTTTGTAACAACACGTCTCTCTTCTTTTCTTTAAGGCTAAACTTCTTATCCAATCCAAGCATGCACTAATTGGAGCTTTCTTCAGTTTTCTTTTCTTTTCTTTAGGTAAATGAAATTAACAAAAAGTTGATCAATCTTTTCGATCTTTTCTTTTTGTGATAAAAAAAAAAAAAAGTTGGGTTTTCGGTTTTATTCTTCTTTTTGTTGTACTCTTCTTGAATTTTGATCGATATATGAATACTGGTATTCACTTCTTTAATTTCTCAATA